AAAAAATAAGGAGATAGGGTTTTTTGAATAGCCATTTATTATGAGATCTCCTGAAGGTCATAAAAACGTTCTCATAGCTATTAATATATAGCTAATACCAGCGGGTAAAAGCCCATTAGTAGCGATCTGAATGTTCATGACTGCGCGTAAAAAGAAATAAATGACAAATATAATAAGATACAAATTGTACAAAAATGAAAACCGGATAATAGTTTAATGCGTTTCAATCTACTTTATTTGCTATTTATTTGGTGTTTGAGTCTTATTTTAAAGAGATACAAGCAATCAGTAAATATTAGCAATCCAAATGCTTTACGTCAATAAAATGGGGAAAAAATTAACAACAGTGGTGAAAGTTAAGATTCAAAAAATAGAGAAATATTTTGGGGCATTTTCTTATAAAACAATCGCCCTTTATTTACAGTTTACGCTCTATTTCATTAGTTCCCTAGTTCCGTGGTTATTTACGCTACTTAATTGGCCAAGCCTCAAGAGAGCAAAGAGTCGATGCCTGAGCACAAGTTGCAGAGCACAAGAACAAATCTAATTTGCGAGACAATCTCATTCGAGCCCATGGGAACAGAAAAGTTCAAAATGCATGTAATATATACATATATTATATTAGATATACTAAAAAAAACCAAAAAAATTATTTTTAAATGACATGACAGCGTCGTTTTCGATCTTCAACAAACCAAAAATTGAAACTGCCATTGGGAAAGAGGTTGTCGAATAGGGTTCGAAATTGGAAATATCAGCGGACAGAGGCAAAATTTCCTATTCAACTTGGGAAACTGCCAGTAAACTTAAATCGCTCTTGGAATACTGTATAATACCGTAGGATACTAGGTAATTAATATTAATATAAATCAGATAGAATAAAATGGAGAAGGAGAATACAAATCGCCATCGTTGTGAGTCCGCAATGCGCACTGCGACAAAATAACGGCAGTTACCGGAAAAATATCAAATCAAAATAAATGATGAAATTTGAGAGCGAAGAATTATTTGGAACAATTTGTAACTAGCCCTCTTTTCAAAAAATAAAAATTATTCAGGTACCTTAGTATTATTCACTCCTTAATTGCATTTCGTTCAAAAATAGTAACAATGCCCTCTACTGTGTAAGGATGCGTTCAAGATTTCGCTTTGATAGTGAGGAGGGGCTTGGAGGGATAAACGACTGGAATAAATCTCTAGAAGCGGGAAACAAAAAAGAAATGAAGACACAAGTGAAAAATGAAGTCCGATTCAGGCCCGCCTTGCAAGATATTGAGCTAAGCTCCTTGACGTTTCGATAAAAAAAAACCCAAAAAGGCCCAGAAGAAGCCAGGTTTGTTTTGTATAAAATTTTTTTAAGATGATCTGCTGTCGATAAAGTGCAAACTCTTTCAGGAAAGGACGAAATGAGACAAACTTTTACAGGTCGTGGTTAAGGAGGAGACTGCCCAGACAAGAGACCCAAGGGACCCAGTAAAACATTGATGAGGAGCTGTTTGGATTTGTAGTTTGACAGATCCATGCTTAACCCGATCCAACGACCCGACTGTAGCTTTGCTTCATAACTAAGATGTGGAAGACCTCATTGGGAACGGGCAGAAGGGTCTCATTATCGGATCCCGCCTCATATCAAGTACATCATTCATTCATGGAGACCACACGACCTTGACGACCAAGGACTCTCCTAAGAGGCTAAAAATATGAACTCCACCGTGCTACACCTTCCTCAAGCCGCCATTCAAACATTCCAACGCCTCCGTGGTCCAAGGTCGAAGATGAATGCGTAGAGTATACCAAAGGAGTGGACTCTTGCCGAGCGCTTCTTCTTTTTCACGCTGCTGAAGACAGCTTCAATGGAAGAATACTCGACTGAAAGAAGAATGCTAGTGGCAGCCCGGACATCCGTTGCAAAAAGACCGCCTTTGTTCAGAATTGCGCCCGCTGAGCTTCCTTGCCGTTTCCAGTCTTTCCTACTTACATTTACAAGAAAGAGCCACCCACATGGGTATATGTATGCACGTAAATGAAGCAGACCAAGTAGCATACACATCTATTTATCAGTATCGATTTTGGCGTCGAAAAAATGCATGAACGGGTGGCAGATGCACAAATTGGCGTCGTGCCAAACATCAATCTAGTTATGTTCGTGCGGCTCAGGCTGCAGACGTCAAAGTGTCGAAGGCGGCGNCTACGGCGACGGCGACCACGACGACGACGGCAAGTCCCGCATGAGGGTGTGAGGGAGAGGGAAAGCAGGCGGACTCAAGCAATTTGAGAGACGTCGCTGAGGGAGAGGAAGAGGAGGAGGAGGAGGAATCTTTGCTCGTAATACAACGATGAGATCAATTTTCTGCTTATTCAACAACGTAAATGCGTAAATTTAGTGATACAACAAGTAAATGCTCCCTTGACGACATCAATGGGAGCTTGAGGTTTCTCGGGAAGATAATACACATAAATATCAAATTCCTAAATCTGAAATCGAGCGTTATTGCCACCTTCAATCCCCTGATTTAGCTAATACCGAACACAGCTCGAGCTTGGCATTTTCAATCCAAAGACATGAGCCCAAAATAAACTTGTTAGTTGCAGAAACGTTAGTTAAGTAGGTGAGGTTGGATAAGATAGGTAAAAAACAAGCGGCTTCATAAGAATTAGTTTACCTATCTACTATCATAGTACTATTTGAGGTATTTAGGTTTACAGAAGCTGCTGCAGAACTAGTAGAATTGAGTGGTAATCTAGTAGGCTGTGTTCTGAAACCAAGAAAGGTGGCGACAAAAGGGTACACCCACTCCCACTTGGTCTGATTGCTGAGTTCAAGTAGGAAAGCCAAGCATCCCAACCGCTCACAATTCGTTATTGGTTACTAAGTTACCTGGTAAGACAAAAACATCTCATTAGGACCAAACATAAACCGAAAAACAACTTTGAACGATGCAGGTTACGATATGAACAATGTTTACCCTCCAATTCGTTTACCAAGACCATTTCATTGAGAACTGAGGGTATGACACATCTTAGAGGATTAATCAGAAAATTGAAAACCGTATTTGAAGACTCAGAGAAACAGATAAGACTGAAAGCGTGGCAGGAAAAAGCCGAACTCGTTGGCGAGGCGTAAATGAGATATGTCAGGCACAGAAAAGTGAAAGAAAAATAAAAAGAGAGCATCAACTGTCCATTACATGTCATGTCCTCCTGTCCCTACCTTTCTAGCCTGAAACAATAGAGTTAAAGCCTAGGATGTTAGCGGCTATCAGACAGGGTAAAGGTCCTATGTATAGCGAAAACTAATGGAAAGGGATCATATCAGTATTGGAGCCTGACCTCATGCGCAAGCAGCAGCTTTACAATGGCAGTTCGAATCTTTCTCAAGAGAAGTTCCGCTATGCTTGCTGTCAATCATCGAGGCTCTAGAATCGCAGCCAAAATCAGCTGTTCCAATAACAACTGGTCCTAAGGGGAAAACTCTATACTCAAGTACAAATTTCGATAGTAATTCGGATGGCAATTCAAAATAATAGCAACAAAAATTCATAGGCCACTTGTTTCCAGGGGATTATTACCAGTGTCCTGAATATGCACGGAACAGAATCCAGCGTAAACATCCATAGAGCGTCGAACTTGAGCTCACGTGGAGCTTTGAGATAACCTCAAACTTTGAGAAAATTTCGCTGTTTTGGAAAAGAAAACCTGGATGTATTCGCACCTTTTGTTTTGTTTTTTACTTTTCTTGTAAACAAACAACAAATGGTAATCCACTACCTAGCCTCAGCTTCTACTGCACCTGTCTTTGGTGCCAGTAAATGAGATACCACCCATCATCCATAAACAGTAAAGTAGAAGGGTCATATTTTGATCGTATAGAGCATACTAATCGTGGCCCCTACAAAACTTTGGGCAGGGTTCAAGCAGTGGGCGGTGCATAAGCAAAAACCTACGATGACCCAGATACATCTCATCCAATTACTCCTTTTTTCTGCAGTCACATAGATTCCACTGTTTTCAAACTTTCCTGAATTACCTAGCGCTCATTGGATTGTCGTTAAACAAACGGATAAATAAATAGGTGAGTAAGAAAGAAGATTAACAAGTAAGTAAGTACATAAATGAGTAAAAGATATGTTCGTAAAGGGAATGTTCTTAGTAGAAAACTCTACAAATCATGCATGACAGACGATTCTTAATAAAATTCATCGTTTACAGTGGAAAGCAAGAGAATGAT